CCGACCAAAGTCCCCACAAAGTCACCCACTCGCAAGCCCACTCGCGTTCCCACAAAGAAACCAACCAAAAACCCCACAAAGTCACCCACTCGCAAACCCACTCGCGTTCCCACAAAGTCACCCACTCGCAAACCCACTCCCAAGCCCACAAAGTCACCCACTCGCAAACCCACTCCCAAGCCCACGCTGAGACCTACGTACAAACCCACTTTGAGTCCAACGAAAAGGCCAACGAAGAAACCGTCAAGAAAGCCCACGTACAAGCCGACGCAAATACCAACGAAGAGACCCACAAGAAAACCAAGTCGAAAGCCGACACGAAAACCTTCTAAAAGGCCGACCAGAAAACCCACGCAAAAACCTTCTAAAAGGCCGAGCAGAAAACCCACGCGAAAACCTACCAAAAATCCCACCAAAAAGCCAACCAAAACTCCTACCAAAATACCAACACTGCCACCAATACAAACACTGCCACCGACGATGCCCCCGACCGTCCCCATTGAGAGTTTGACTATGAGCATCTTAATCTCCGTTCCACCTCTCGTCCCCTCGGAAGTTGTTGCAACCCGAGTTGAAGAGGCTCTTGTTGACATTTTGACGGAGGGTGGAAGCGGCAACAGAGTCCGGAGGTTGCAGCGTCGCCCCAAAGGTGGAGGCAACGGTGGAGGCAACGGTGGCGGCGGCGGTGGAGGCGGAGGAGGAGGTAACAAAAACCAAGACAATACGTTCAACCCCTTCGTCAACCGAGTGAGCACTTTCGCCGTACCAGAGTCGTGCGGAACCATTCAGGCAGCTACAACCAGTGGGTACAAATGTTTGCGCGTCGTTGTTACCCTAACGGGAACCAGCCCCGCGACTCTCTCGGCGTTCGAAAGCACCATCGAAGAATCGGTGCAAACCAATGCCTTTGAGAACGWGCTCGCGAAGAGAGGCCTGAGTGCGTATACCGAGCTCCCTTCTCAGCCCGTCCTTTCTACGGATTCTCCAACGGGCGTGCCGACCGATTCTCCAACGTTTGCGCCAACAGCGATAACTAGCACTGCARCCTCTGCGCCAACCAAGACCTACGTGGATCCATGCCCGCCACTCTCGGGTGACTGCACGAAATGCCTCGAAAACAAGGCCTGCTACTATTGCCGAGAACCGCCGGGGACCTGCTTTAACAAGAATCCCAAGCGTCGTGCGATAAAGGACGAAGAGGAAGTTTTACAGACCCGATTCCTGGAAGAGATGAAGTGCTCTGGGATTCTCGCCACGTCGAAGCTCATGTGCGAGGCACAGACGTTCGCACCGTYGGTTTCCGAGATCGGGGACACAGACGACGAACGAGACGATGYTGTAGAGAGACCCGAATCCGATACACAGACCAACAACAATGAGAAGAAGTCAACCGCCGGGCCCTTGCCAGTGATAACAAGTTCTGTTGTCATCGGAGCAGTTTCTGTGATCCTGCTGTACACTGTATAAGATCCTTTCATCATCATGAAAACGAAAAAGAGATATTTGATTGGCATCGAAGCATTGCTACGGAATGAAGCTATTTTCAACACCAATGCGTGAACCATCTGAATGGGTGTTATATATTTATCAGTATGTAAACGATGTGTATACGTAGTAATAAAATGAATGAAAGCTATTTGAGGTTTCATGTTTGATCGCTGAGTTTCTGCTGCCAATCTTCTGATTTGTACGGACTGTTTCGTCTGATACGACGGCCTGCAACTACTGCCACCAAACGGATTCATTGCATATTTTCGTCCGGTTCCAGGGCCAGCTTTTTTTTCACGAAAGACAGGGTTCATTGGCAGTGGTCCCTGGGTTGATACGAGATTCCAACATGAAAGCAATGATAGCCTTCCTCACAGCACGAGCAATATCTATGTAGAGCCCGATATGGACCCATGAGCACAGGATCCCCTGACAACTCCATGGTGGAACGTTGCAAGTACTCCCTCTTTGTCTTTCACTTTGTCAAAAGAGTACCATTAGGAAGAACCCGCAGTTAGATAGCCCAGAAGTTTTGCCATAAATCATCTTTTGGTCACCCTGTGCACTGTAGTCCTACTACTCCTATTGCTGCTGCCCCATCTGTGTACTTCAAATACTATATTCTTGTTTTCTTCCCTGAACTCTGAGTGATTTGAAACTCAAGCACTAGCAACAAGGACGATTCACTTGAATGACATCAATACTARATTTATTACTACTTCTTGGAGAGGTTTCCAATCATTGAAGTCTCTTGCATCAAAAAAATTGACTCTCTCTCTCTCTGTGTTTGTGTGTTTGTGTGTGTGTGTGTGTGTGTGTGAGAGAGAGAGAGTGTGTGTGTGTGTGTGTGTGTGTGTGAGAGAGAGAGAGTGTGTGTGTGTGTGTGTGTGTGTGTGAGAGAGAGAGAGAGTGTGTGTGTGTGTGAGAGAGAGAGAGAGTGTGTGTGTGTGTGTGTGTGTGTGTGTGAGAGAGAGAGTGTGTGTGTAGTATATAGTATAGTATAGTACATAGTACATAGTATATAGTATATATGTCGTAACCTATGTAGTTCCGGTCCCATAGACTCAGGATTGATCCTCCATACTGTTCCTTTGTCGGTACTCATTGCACCCAATCCCTTATTTAAAGAAAGTTCAAGAAAGTTCAATTGTTATTTTAAGCATAGTATACTACTAGCATAACTATAGTTTCTATAGTAGTAGTAGCTAGTGCACACAGCCAGTAGTCTTGTAACAATACGTACATATAGTAATGCCTTACTGATGCCAATGTGACCTGGCACTACATTACTTCTAGTAGCAGCACCAGTCCTGTGAGGATTAGTGACAGTAAAACAAGTTTTTAGCATTAAGAATGAATCAATATATTGTTCTTAATAACGTGGTACTACAATAGTACTTGTAGTACTAGCTCCTGATAGTACTACTAGTACTAGTAGGCATATTATGCATATGCTTTGATGCATACATAAATGTATAGTAGCATTAGTAATTATGGAAGTTACTGGTGGAATAATCAATTGAAATAGGGAGTCTGAGAGGGTACTAGTACATGTTGCACATCAATTGAAATTATGTTTCATGGGGCATCCCAAATGTTAGAATTAAGGTTCCCAATGTTAACTTTAATGTTTCCAATGTCAGATTTAGTAGCATTTGGAATCTTGGTATTGTATCATAGGCTCGGCAAGAAAGCAAAAAAACACAATCCAATTGTACATTTTCAATCGTGTATACACAACCCTGTATAACTTTATGTGATCAATAACGCCCTTTAACCCCACACATGACAATATTCCTGTTGAAATTCCCTTTCAATTCATGTGCTTATCATTATTAAGCATCCATTGGGGAGGACCAAGATACAGCTTCAACTGTTAGTACTACTAGTTCATGATTAAGACAGTTATACAGTTAAATAACATGGTGGGATCCTTTGAGCATGGTGCTCTATGGACTAGCACTCGTCCCCTTATCAAAGGCTCTGCAACGGCTTTGTCCCCAAGTGGTCCAATCTTTAATAGTGCGTAGTACTAGCCAGTACAACTTTGAAGAATTCTTACAGCCCAGCCCTAGACTTACCGAGGAAACAAAAAGAAACTTCTTGTTCTTAGTGTGGATTTGTGTAAACCCTGGTATCTCATTTTTTGCAAATAATTTAGTACCTTGAYCAAAAATAGATTATTCATTTTTAACTTAACAAACATTCACCAGTCATTATTGTGACAACAAGAAGTCATTCTTGCTACTAGCAATAACTTAGTAGTTCTTGCACCGTAGTAAGTTTTTTCGGCCGCCGCCATACTTAAAAAAAAAACGGTGGCGGCCTACCAATTACTTATTGGTGGGTTCTGGAGGAAAAGCAGAACAGCACCTGAAAAAAATGTGGGGTACATGCACCCACCAGAATCAGAATGTTCAAGCCATGCAAAATGTACGTGTGCTTTAGGCTCACAAGCCAAACATCCCAGGGGTCTGTCGAGTCGTTCCGGCCAAGTCACGATTCGCTAGTGAATAACCTCAGTCTCGATGAAGATAYGAGATATGAGATACCCTGGTGAGAAAAATCCTTTTTGAAAAAAGGAAAGCATGGGACACACACAACGACACACACAACACAACACACAACACAACACAACTCATACTCAAATGCACAAGCAGCTAGCAGTCTCCTGAACAAAGCGATTGTTGAACCATCTCCGCGAGAGATCGATCGTTCTTTGCTCGCTCGCCCATTCACCCACTCACTCCTCTCGCCACAGGATGCCATCCAAGAAACGACAGCGGCGGCAAGAGCAGCGGCGGAAACGAAACGAACAACGCCGCGGCAGCGACGGTCCTTTCGATGCTCGGAGTAGCAAAACGCGAGATTCGCGGGAGGCGGCGGCGGGAGCCACGGTCGCCGCTGCCGCCCGCGGAATCCTTGGCTCGGGGAGAAGGAATTCYAAGAAAMGGCGGGAGAAGCCSCGGCAGTGGCCCGCAGTCCCCGGGATTGCCTCGAACTCCACGATGGCGGTCCTCCTGGTGGCGGCGGTGTCCCTGGGGTTGGGGAACCCGGGATCCGGTTTCGACCGCTTGCTATGGGATATTGCACCTTCCACAMCAACAATTGCTGCCGGTTCGATTGCTCTGCTGTCGCTCTGGGCCGTTTGGAAGGCCTCTCGGCTTGCCTCTCGGGTTTGGAAGGACAAYGCAAACGGGGCCAAAGCCCTCCACCGGCAAAAAGACAACGACGACCCAAACGAAACGGAAGAAGACCTCTTTTCCACTCTCCGGCCCCTGGGRCTCCGACSTTCCCGGGAAGCCCCCCCAAAGCTTGCTTCCTCGGAGGCCGTCCGGGCCAGGCTCGCCGAGTGGCTYCCCTTTGGACTCCGCCACACGAGCGACCTCGAACTCGTCTACAGCACGAGCGTCCACGGCCGGTCGCTGAGAGTGCTCTACCACCGTCTCTCCGAGGAAGGATCGAGGCACACGGTCCTGTTCGCGGAGGTCCTGCCGGCGAAAGCATCGAAACCGGAACCGGGATCCCTGCCCGTCGTTGGAATGTACGCGTCACACCGGTGGAAGCCGTCCCCGGGTGTCTACGGCGACGGCCAGTCCTTCCTGTTCCGAGCGGAGGTTCCGGAAACCGAAGGGGAGGGCATCGGTGCCGGTGCCACCGATTGCCGCGAAACGACGAGAGGCGTCGGCGGGGGTGGCACCACCAACGAGGCCCCACCGCTTCGCTCCGACTGCTGGAAGTGGACCCCGCCTCCTCCGCCGGAACGACCCGCCGGGRGCGGTTCTTCCCACTGCCACTACCACGTTGGACGAGCGGACGGGTCCGCGGCGGCCAGGGAGGCCGCCCTCTGGGAAACCTTTCAGAGGTCGAACSGGGACTCGCTGGCCCTCGGGATCAGCGGCAACGGGGCCGGTGCGGGACTCTCSCTAAACTCCGACCTCACCCAAGGGGAATCCCACCGGGCGGTGGGATTCGACAACGAGCCGCTCGCCGGAGCTCCCGCGGAACGGCCCGCGRACGGCAACGRCAACGRCAACGACAGCAAATTGAGCGCRGGCGTTGGCAGCCATCGCAAAACAGACGGTGGCGTTGTCTTTGGTGTAGGACTCGTGGAAGTCTACCAGCTCGTTCGAGAAATCGACGGCCTCCCCATAAAGTGAAGGTATCTCCAAGGTTGTCTGCGTTCTATAAACATCATGCCTCAGAAATCGCAGTGTATTTTGTTTCGTTCTGTCCTGTCCGCGGTATCCTGATCCGGCGGCAGGAATCCAAGAGCCATGGGATAGCTGCTGTTCGGGCTCGAACGCACACAACATCGCGAATGGCTCGATCGAATTGGTCTTGGTTGCCGAAAAACCATCAATAAGCCTCAAACGCGAGCTCTGCTATTTCCCTCCTTGAGAAAACAAATGCATTCGAATCAAATCGATGTTAGGTAATCCTGTGTCGCCGTTCCAAGCAGCACCTCTGGACTCCACAATTTTTTTGTTTTTTGGCATCTGGTAACCTAGTTGTCGCGGCCGATGAGATAGCAACAGTACGATGTGAATTTCAGGAACCTTGGAACGAAAACAACGAAAGAAAAGTGATGTTGTGACGGACGCAGCGTCGTATGAAGCTACTATGAAAAACAAAAGTAATCACTGTTCTTCCTAGGACAACCAGATGGGCTGATTTGTCTTTGCTATGGCGTGGGGGACAGCACCACAATGCCGAGACGCAACTAAACACGCATTGTATGCTGCAAACGGGGACAGACACCGAACAAATAGGCAACTAGGAAAAAAGGTTTGATGCATTCCAAAGGGAGAGAACAAAATTCTACGGCCTAGCTTTCTTGGATCGGCTGTTCTGTGCTGTTCTGTCCGGTCTTGTTCACAGCTTGCTTTGCAGGTGGTTCGTCCTCGCTTTTTGTTCTTGTCGTTGCTGTTTTCGCTCCCGTTGCTGCCGCAGCTGTAGCTTCTGTCGTTCGTGCAGCCGCCGATTCCCGTCCAGGATCCAGTCGGCAACGGCGGTCGTCACCGGGCCCCTGTCGTTCCCTAGCATCATCAGATCGACCACCGCTTCCTGGTGCCCCGTCTTGGGGACGTAGACCTCGTCGATGCAGGTGTTCCCGCACGCGTCCGCGCCTTGACTACCGGCCAGCGCGTGCCTGAGGATTCGCGCCGCTTCCCCGGTGCTCGGCATGGGGACCACGTCGTCTTCGGCGCCGTGGACGAGGAGGATCCGCTCCGGGAACAGGCTCCCGATGCTAGTTTGGGTGGTTGTGTTTGCCGTTGCTGCTGTTGCCGCTGCCGCCACCGATTTCGTGGGAAGCGGTTCTTCCCGCACGGTGGTGGACTGCTCCATCTCGTCCAGGGTCCGGAGCAGCTCGTGCTGGACCTTCCATGCGGGGCTGTGCTTCAAAAAGTTGGCGGTGGAGTGACCGTTGGCGGGCTTGAGCGGCGAGATTTCCTCCACGGCCCGGCCCGCTTCGTAGTGGAAATGGTGGTCGATGTTGTAGACGCCGGAGATCCCCACAAAGGCATCGATGGGGTTCTGGTTTCGGCTCTCGCGGTCGGCGCCGCGCGGCGACGCCAGCCGTTCGGAGGCCCTTCTCTGGGCCCGCTCGACCATCCACAGGAGAGAGATGTGTGCCCCGGACGAGTGGCCCGCCACGATCGTTCCCACGTGTGGCACGTGGTGGGAAGACGTCGGGAAGGCGGCACCGCCGGTTGGAAACGGGTTTGGGTTGGGCTTTGCTTCTGCCACGTTTCTGGTTTCGTCGCCGTCGCTCGCCACCCACCGATCCTCGAACCGCTTGTCGCACCACTCGGGATATTCCTCGTTCAGCTTGGCGAGGGCAGATTCCAGATCGTCCACCTGCGTGAGCACTCCCCCGCGATGCTTGTTGTTGTTTTTGCTGCTGCTGCTGCTGCTGCTGCTGCTGCTATTGGGACTGGCAGTATCGCTGTTGGGAACCCCGCAGACCGGATATACCCGGTATCCCACAATGGCCACGGCCAGTCCGAGTTCCAGAAAGGGGAGGGCCACCAACCGATAAAACCAGGGCTTGCCGCTCCCCCAGGCCCCCCCGTGGACAAAGACCAGCATCCCCCGGACCCTTTGCTCGCCCCGYGYGCTCCCGGGSGTTTYCTGCGACGGGTCTCGGGGCTGYTTTCCGCCTGCCTGCTTCCCGCTCGCTCGTCGTTGTGGCCGATCCCGCGGCTCCGGAAAAAAGACATCGACAAACTGGCTCTCGTCGTCGTCTCCGTAGCGCAGGACCCTGCGGGCCCGCGTCAGCCTCCCAAAGGCGAGGGCCGCKGAGGGGTTGGCCACCGCTCCCGCCGGAACCGCCAGGGAAACCACCGCCGCGTCGGCGATCCACCGAAAGGCGCCTCCGTCGCGCATCCCGTTCTGGACCGCCAGGGGGAGGACCCTTTCCAGGGCCCGGGTCCCACGGGTCATCCCCCGGAGGAAGGGATCGGTCTCGTAGTCCGAGGGCGGGCACCGCGGGGCCGTCCCCGCCAAACGGACGGACCGGGGGGTAACAAGGGCGCCTCGGTCGGGGGGGGAAGCCTTCGTCGCAGAAGCTGTCATTCTCGGTTGGCCTGGCCTGGGTTGGGTTGGGTTGGCTTTGGGTTGTCTCTGGTTGGCTCTAGTGAAATTCAAGTAGCCGTGGTGGGTCTTCTTGYACGGTTTTCTTCTCTGGAGGTCCTGTTGGCTGTTTGCTTGGTTATTCGTCGCAATTGTTGGCACAGACTCTTGTCATCATTGGTGCTTTGTACCTTTTGTTACAATAGTAGATCACAGCATTTACTGTACGGTATGTGCGTCTTTCTCAAACGACGTAGCGTATGGAAAAATCGTGCAGTAAACTCGTACTGTACCAAGTACCTCCGTATTTCGTAGATCTTGTTCTTAATATTATCGACGGTACAGTTTTCAGAAGCAGTACGTGTGAGGTAATTCGTCGTCGTCGTTCATATCGGATTCGAGAAAATTATTTCTTCTACTTCTACCTCCTACCGGTACGCGTACCGTACGCAAGTCGGCGTCTTCCTAGCAATCTCGTCTGTGCTATGATCTTATTCATCATACATACCTTAAATAGGTATATTTCCTTCCATCACCATTAGGCCATTACCCATTACAGCAGGCCTTCTGATACGGTAAGTACGTACCTACATACGAACGTATGGTAGCACTCAACAGTATCGTACTTAACCCGTAGGGTACGTACGAGCACCCAACGACACGCAGGATGCGAGAGAAATTCTTGCACAAAAACCTCTTCGCGCAAAAACCCGAAAAACCACAACCGTGCGAACGACAGAAAAACATTTTTGGAACGACTTCCGAAACCAACGAGCGAGAAGAAAAAACAGATCCAACAACGTTCCGTATCAAGAATCCAAAAATACTTTTACGAAGGAAAGTACCGGTGCGTATAAGTTCGTATTCGTATTCGTACTTTTCCTTCGTAAAATCACCCTCTGGAAGCGAATGCTGGAAGACACAATTTTGATCGAGTGCCATAACTATCATCATCGTTTTCGTCGTCGTTGCTGTCGTCTATATCGGGGTTGCTGCACTCATTGTTGGACACCGCACACCGCACAACGGGATCCAACTATATCCAAAGAAAAACCAATGATTCGTCTTCTTCGACCTCCGTATCAAAAAAACAGGAAGAGAACAAAGRAAAAGACAAGAGGCAGCGGCAACAAGCCAGTGCCAGCAGCAATAAAGATTCCTGACGGGAGACGCACGGGAACCGTGATCAGGAATGATGGCAGATGCAGCACCAACCCAAGCGCCAACACGAAGACCAACCAAACGACGCAAACGGGCACCGAAGATCACACCAACGCGACGAGGACAACTCCTGCTACTCGCAGCAACAATGCGATGCGCGAAAACGAAGAAAACGAAAACGAAGAAAACAACGCCGTCCCGGCGACGCTGTGCATCGGAGGCATACTTTTGCGGATCATCGGGTACCTCCCCTCCAAGCAACGGCAACGCTCGTGCACGCTGGTGTCGAAGGGGTGGAGGAGAGCTGTGCTTGCGGAACCAACGGCCGGTGGCAACAACAACAACAACGACCAGTTCTTGCCCCTAGTGCTGCGCATCGAAGACCCGGTGTCGATGGGAAAGGGCACACACCACCGCAAGACCAGAGCGAAGAAGAACGTGAGGAACGACAAATACGGATACCGGGACTATGGGATCTGCGAGACCAAACCCGCGAAGCACGGATGCTCGAAGAACAAAAACAGATCGAAACATTTCGACGACGACGACGACGACGACGACGACGATGACGAGGTCTTTTGGTTCCCTCTCCACGCCATCGGACGCCTCCCCCGAGGGGTTGCGGCGAGGACGACGAAACTAATCCTGGTGCTGAAGTTCGTCCGGGACTATGCGGGGGAGTACGACCTGAACGAGTTTGCCTTTTGCGACGGAAAGCCCCTCGCGTTTTTAGGCCGCTTCCGAAACCTGCAAGACCTGACCGTTTTGTCGGAGTACGCCGCGGACCAGTTTGCTTCGATCCTGTGCCGCTGCCCCGGTCAAGAGCCACCGCGGCTGCTTTCTCTGAAGCGGATCCAGTACGAGGAGACCAACGCCTCGGACTGGAGAAGCTCCTCCCTCGGGGCCTTTGTGGAACTCGCACCCAACCTCGAGGTYCTGGAGCTGCGGGAAAACATCGTGCGAAACTGGGACACGGGTGGCGAGCTGTTTCCGACCGAACCCATCTCGGACCTCCTGCCGCTGGCGGGAACCCTCCGCCAGCTGGTCCTCTTCAACCGACACAATCTCCACGGGGACTTTGGGGCGTTCCTCGAGCGGATGCCCCTGCTCGAGTCGTGGGACGTCTTTTGCTGGGGGGTGGAAATGGGACGCTGGCCCACGGTGTGCGGCCTGGAAACCTTTCGRACCTTTCGGGACAACGCCTACCGGGGGGTCGACCTCAACGAGCCGCAAGAATTTGTCTGCTTTCTCAAGGACGAAACCGAGTTCATCCTCACCATGCAGGAGGCGGTTGCGGAGTGGTTTTTGCGCCTGGACGATCCGAACCTCCACCCGTGGAGGCACCGAGTCCCCACMATGGTTGGGTACCTCGATGCACTCGTCCGCGAATACTTTGGCCCGGAGGGCGGCTTTTACGAAGACCGACCGGTCCGGCCCTACCCCCTCCCGACGCTGGTCCGCCTGCTGGGGGTCGATCCCCACGCAACCACTGGCTCGTCGTCGTCGACGTCGTCGTCGTCGTCGTCGTCGTCGTCGTCGTCTCTCACCGCTAGACCAAAGGGTGGCGGTTCCGGGTATGCCAGTTACTGCTCCCTTTCCAAAACCCAAACCAGGCTTTTGAATTTCCACCGGGTGGTCAAGCCGTGCATGGAGATTTACCACGAGGAGTTTCTGTATTAYAGTGATTTTTATCGCTACAATCTGTTCCGAAGGATCAAGCAGCGCATACAGCTGGGGCGTCTGGTCCGCTGCATTTCGVTTCCAAGCGACCGGTATCGCCAAACACCCGCCACCTGGTTCGAGAAAGCATTCTCGGAACACAATGGCTTTCATCTGTTGGCCTAGCAAGCACGATACTCATGCAACGATAAAGGGGGGGACCAAAAGGCAACTTGAGCGAAAGCTCTTCATCTCAGTGATGTTTTTGCCGTACCACATTAAGCTGTTACTATCTAGCACTGTGCGGCATACAAAAATTATCACAGTAGTAGCTACAATTTTAACATGTAGCRCCACAGGTACATCTCTGGTTATATTTGTGGTACACCACTCATGGACCAATGCCACAGATATATAACATACTAGGAATACTACTCCTATCTAGTACTTTTAGTTCACATTGTTCTCCTGATGAATAGRTAGTAGTAGTCAATATGATAGGTTACAACTGTTTGTGAGCATTGCAACAACGGTTACTATGGGTGTCGGGAAAATAGTAGTTTAATGGCGTTGTAATACAGTAACGTGTGTAAATGAAGTATTGAATTACTGTTAACTGGAGAAATCTAAACAGAATGAGGATGTCCGCTACTGCATCAATTTTTAAAATTCSGTTGTTCTGCCATCACTGCTCAATTCTCGTGTGCACTCGGTCCATACATTCTTCTATCCTCCTAGTATTCTCGCTGATCACATAAATCTCCTTAAATATCTTCCGACTTGTTTGTCCTTTTTTTTTTGCACTTCTGATTTTCGTCGACCGAAAGATTTAGACGAACGGGACAACAGCTCCGGCCTAACACAAGCACGATGCACGGTCAAAACAAATAGAAGAACATTCAGTTTAGCAAAACTTGACAGAAAGAACGATATCGAGAGCGTGCAACATTCTGTTCCTCTCTTCTCTGATCTCATCAGAAAGGAATCTCACTACGCACCGTTCCGGCTGCAAGGCTTGTAGCAGCAAGCGCAGTAGCTGCTGCTGTTCCAGCCAATGCAGGAAGGAAAGCAACACAACCTATAATCAATGCAGCAGCCGCCAAAACAGCCGCAAGGATAGTTTTAATTTTGGAACCACTGCATGGATTGACCTACATTGAGCACAACAAAGGATAGGAGAATGAGAGACCGTAATCGGAACTTTGGAATCAGTTCAATAAATCAATTAGAGCCTTGCGAGGACTTACTAAATTTGCCAAAAAGACTCCATCTTGCGCCATACCGGGCAAGTAGCCGACCGAAAAGAAAGAAATACCACCCTGCCCATTTTGGGTGAGGATATTCATGTTGTTATCTACCTGTAAGCCATAGGCAGGTCCATCGATGAGGTCGTTGATGAATTCGTTGTTTTTGCCTTGGGCACAAATATCGTTCAAAACAATCGAACCGGGACAAGTGCTGCTGTAGGAGGGAGTAGCGTCATCCTTGTTGAATTTTCCGCTAAGGCACTTTGTGGTTCCTACAACGGTGTCATCGTATCGAATCGTGGCGATGACGAGAGCACCTCCTTCGTAAAAGCTTTGCATATTGCCTGTAACGTGGCTTCGACCACTTACCACATTGTTCGTGTTTGGGGAAAACGCCTATGGGACAGCATGAACGAAAGGTGTTGAGATAGAACGTTCGTCTTTCTTTCGTTCTTTTCGGTGTCGATTTTACCACGAGGGAGAACTTACAATAGACGTAATCAAGTCAAACGTATCTTCCCCACTATCGTTGGAATGTGAGCTACCGACATCGTCTGTTGGCGTGAGACGTCGGTAGACAAGATAAATCTCGGGGTTTGCATTCCCAAACATTGCATAAGGAGGGATTGAAGAGTCCTTCGCCGGATCATACTGTACAAAAGGCAAGAATAGGACTTCCATCTGGTTATGCAAGTAAAGGCCGTATGGGGTGGGAACGCTCTGGACGCAGAAGTCAGTGCCAATCCAATCATTGTCGGAGCCTTGAACGTTTACGAGAGGATTAGTTCCCCAAGTATAGAGTTGGAACGCCAAGAGTCCTTGGGGCGCGCATAAATAGACGAAGATGTTGTTTTCATCAACAAAAAGACCGCTCAAAGAACGAGGGGATGGAAGCTCGTGGCAGCCGCTTTCTTTTTTGTCCTCACTGTCAGCGGAACTTCCATCGTAGCATTCAGAGAGATCATCTTTAAGCGGAGAAAATGAAAAAAATCAATTCATTAGCGGGATCAATCAAAGGATGAAACTCGGAAACATGCTCGTTGAACGTACTCTTCTGACCAAAATAAGTCAAAGTGGGCACACTGTTGCTCCAAGATACATTATAGACCACCATAACGTTCTTGACCGTGAGCATGATTACTATGTTTACCTTTCAGAAGTTTTGAAGAATGAGATCAGTGGTGTAAGATTATAAATTGAGTAGTCGAAATGTTGCGCCAAACGTCTTGGTTGCTGATTTAGTGTACTTACTTGTGGAATGTACAGCATATCTGCGATGGCATCTCCAAGGTCTTCGATTGTGAACCAACATGAGGTGGTCCACTCAACCTCAGAACCCATGAAAACTTGGCAAAGATTTACTTGTCCGTTTTGGAGACCAACCAAACTGTAAATGTAGGAATTGCCATCATCGATTGGATAATATATCTGAGTGTCCGCATCCTGGGTATATTCCATGAGATTGGTAATCGCAGTCGTTTCTGATGAAGTATCTTGGTTTGCGAGATTGCTTCCGTCGTACTGGAGATACTGAATAGGATCGCCATTTTCGATATCACTGACAGTTGTAGCGTTAATTTCAAGCTGCGCAGTCGCAAAGATTTTCTTGCTGGGTTCGTTAAAAACCGAGAGCATAGTAGGAAATCTGGAATTACCAAGGGCTTTCGATGACGTGGATAAACCGCGATTGAAATTCCAGTCAAGCGTCGGAGCAAGGACCGATGGAGTGTACACGTCGTTATAATTTTGATACATATCTGCCGGCTTGCATTTGCGCTGTTTTGGAAAATGAGAATCGATAATACGAAGTCGAAAGTGAGCACAGGGAGAATATTGAACAATTGCCGCTACTAAATGAAAATTCCATTGACCACTTACTTCGAAGTACAGAGATCTGGTTTGCTTTTGTACGACTGGGGGTGTTTTTTTTAGTTTTTTTTCTTTTTTGTTCCTCTTCGTGTTGATTTCCAGGGGTGCAAGATTTCTTTCCTTTGAGGGATCCAAGGGGAACCCAAGCACGTCGATCAACGATTTTTCGACGACAGAGGAAGAATTTTGCGATCTCTCGATACTGGCTTGAAAGAGATCGACGAGTTCCTCGAGTTCTTGATCTTTCTTTTCCAACTCCCAATCCATTTCGCTCAACTTTTCTTCCTGTTGAGTCAACTTTTCTTTCTGTTGATTCAACTTTTCGTACAGAGACGACAATTCATCACGATCGATTTCTCCGACAGCCGCGTTAGGATCTTSAGGGATTGCAGGTCGCAAGATAGACCCTTTCGGAGACATGAAAAACAAAATGGCACTCGCTGATACAAAAGCGAGAAAGAAGAAGGATCGAAATCCCTTCTTGGGATTGTCACTGCTGGACTGAGAGAACATATTATCCGGTGGTATTACAGGTGTGCAAATTGAAAATGCGACTTTTGAAGTTGCGTTTTTATGAGAATAGAATAGATCAAGTGAAACGAGATGAAATAGTTACGTCGAAGTTTGAGATGCAGAGAAGAAATGGATCTGGATCTTTCATATTGGATTTCGGAAGGATTTCAATCTTTTTGCGATCACAGTAAGTATTCTTGCGATTACAATAAATAGTAATAGTATTACTATACCATTCAATTAAGTGTCAGGGAAGAAAAATTTGAAGCTTAATTCGAATAAAAATTAAATGGTGGCAGGGATATTAAATTCGGGACTAAGTACTCCAACACGAAGGAGAAAAATTGCCATCCATGGGTCGTACCGGTAGGATTTTCGTCAACATCGGTTTTATCTGCGTAGGAAGTACAATATGAATTACAGTATTAGAATTTTCATTTATTGATCGAAGTTTGCTGGTGTCGTAAAAGTCTTACTGTAAAAATAGGATATGTTTCAACATTTCACACATACTTACTTATGCATTATTGTTGTATCGTATGCACTTAATCATTTTTTTGAAGCTATAATCTGTTAGTCTAGAGGGATGAGAAGCAAGTTTTTAAAGATATGCTCGAGCGCCGTAAACAATTGCCCTATTGTGTGTGGTATTATCAATTTTACTCGAAGCATTTATGTAAATTTACATAACGATCCTTCTCAAGCCACCAGTATTTTTCACACGTCCACTATCGCATACGGGTACGTATTTTATCATTATTTTTTTGAAGCTATAATCTGTTAGTCTAGAAGGATAAGAAGCAGATTTTCAAAATGTGATCACCGGAGCGCCATAAACTATTGCCCTATTGGGTCATTTCCGTAAACATTGATTTAGCACACATAGAAGTATGTGTTTTTGACACAGATACATAGATTTTTGGTTCAGGCAGGCTCTCGACTACGAGTTTAATCGGAGTAAAATGCGTTAACCGTATGAACCCTACCACGTCCTACAGGGCAGATGCCTATTCAAACACAAAAAATTAATACTAGTAGCATCACGGCTAATTTTGGGCACCGTATTTTAGTACTGGTCCTACACAGATCTACTAGTTTTCGRTCACTTTTTCCACTACAAACAGCTCAATGAGGTAAAATAAGCTAAACACAACAGCTCCGGAAAGGCTTGTAATGAGATCCCCTTTGGGGAAAAGCTTCCTTATAGTGTTGGGAATAGCCCCATGTGTCATTGTTACAGCACAATTAAGGGCCAGGGGGGGGGGGTGATTCTCCACTAACACCCGGTATGGCCAAAATTGGCCGGTTTACAAGAGCGCCTGCTAGTTAGAAAATAGGCCAGAACTCTATCAAAAAACAACTTTAGAGCACCAGACTAAGCGCCCAGACCAAGATAATACAATTAGTACTTAGTGATCCAGGTCATTGGGATGCTTACTAAGGATGCTCTGGCAGCTTAGAACTAGTATGCAGAAGTTACACCAGTAGTAGTGGGCCAAAATTCCTGCRTTAATTCTAGGTGTAATTTTACTCAAGTTAAACTCGTACCAAAAAGTATGCACTCACATAGATTTTTTGGAATCCTTGACTCAAAAATTCTTTAGTCACGAGTGTGGTGAGAATGCAGATATTCCTTATTCCAAATTAAGCACATGTAGTAGGGAGACATATTCTATGACACACAAATCTATGTAGTCACATTTTTATTCCCGTTAAGTCATAGATGCAAAGTATGTTGCATATGTTGTCATAGATTCTATGATGTTTACGGGAATGACCCATTGTGTGTGGTATGATAAATTTTACATGAAGCATACTGCGTGCCTAAATCTTCTTGCTGTTCTTGCAATGTAGTACTGCTACTAGCAGGAAGTAATAATTCTAATAATCACAGAAGTACAACTTTCCTAGAAGTCATCTTGGGAGTAGTAACAGTATCACATTTGAGTCAAGGGAGGAATCATAAATAATATGATAGTTACTACAACAATAATGATGCTTCTCAATCATTGCCACCACCATGATGCTACTTCTTACTATTCTAGTATTGGATATCATTTCGAATTGAAGCACACATTGCACAATCTAGTGGAACACCGATGATAAAATTAATTTTGTGCAGAATTTGTTCTGAAGTGTAGTAGTATCTAAAGTGTTAATCTGTGTTGAGGGAGGAGATGCTGAACACTTTACACTGATTCTAGTATTCCCTGTGGATCATAGTACAAAATCCACTGAACTTCTAAATATTCTGTTCTTGTTGTGACATCTCATCATGTCATGTGTTACTGTTCTCCTCATACTATGCAATGTATCTTAGATGTCAYGATGACAGATATTTGTTCTCATACTACCTCCAATGGGTACTATCACATGGTAGGAGTAGTATGATACTATAGTAGTACTATATAGTAGTGTATAGTAGTATCATAGTATTCTACTAGTACATAGACTTGTACTGTCCAGTCCTATAGGCTCATCATCACTGAGCTCCTGCTGGTACTGTGCTTGTTTCAGTCATACTACTAGTAGCACTACTAGTAGTAGATGCTCAATCTTTCAGGATGTACCCCTGGCTGGAAGAACAAGCATTGTTGCAATTTGGTGGTTGGGGGGGGGATACATCAAATCTTTCCAAAAGCAATACTAGTAGATAGTACTAGTAGGAGGAGCAGAGCCACAAAATAACAAGTATAATTCAAAGTGTATTAAAATAGAATTAGTATCGCGTATGCTCGGCACCAGAGAGATTCCAGTCATGTCATTTGTACATTACTACTAGCAACAATGCTCAATATACATACTACATGTACTATATCTATATATACCACTAGGAGGGAAAACTCTTTACAATGGCTTTTGATTCATGTGATTACAATACTTAAGCATACTAGTATGTTGGGGACAAAGAAGATATAGCTGTTTGAGTGAGTTGGCTGTTACTTTATGTTCTAAGTGTATTTTGTATGGTGTGTCAATTTTGGGCCATCTAATTACACAAATATTACTACCAATAATCATACCTCCTCATGGGAAAAGAACCAGAAGGAGAATTTTCTGCTCCTCAGGAACATGTGCAACCCCTATCAACATATATATAAATATATATATATGGATCAAATCCTTATACCAAGACAAATGTAGCTATGATATTCATTGATTAAAACAAGATAAAACCAGTCTTTTTTTACCTCAAAGTTTTTTGTTTCAACAATCTGACAAACAAGTCAAAGAGCATGTTGTCCCAAAATTTCAAGCTCATTTTTGTGACACGTGTAAGAAATTGATATACTCCAACCATTTTCCCCCTCATTTTTTACCACATGTAAGATATCACTCATACTCCAACCTACCAAACAGGTGCATCAAAAGCGCCTCTTCACACAGAATCAATCTTAGAGTTGACTGAAGTTCTTACAAACAAAGAACCATTGCTTGATACTAGTACACTCACATATTCTCTCCTCCATCTTTAAAAAACAAATGTCTCCAGCTTCCTTTCCCTCTACTAATAAACGCCACTAATGCWTAGTAACACCTACTAATGCCTAACACAATACAGCCCCTGTCTATAGGAAATGCAAGCGCCTGCAGTTTGTTCCTCTATACAAAATGTCCGTATTGCCCAACCCAATACAGCTCCTGCCTCTACAAAACACGCAAGAAGCCCCTCCATCTCCACCTCTTTATGAAGCTGCAACGCCAAATACAATACAGCACACACAATAGTAGTCTCCAGCTTCCTCTTTATGAAACACACAAGCCTCTCCATCTCCACCTCTTTATGAGACCCTAATGCTTAATACAATACAGCCCGTGCAAGTACATCCATCTTCCTCTTTACAAAACATGCAAGCCCCTCCATCTCCACCTCTTTACAAAATCATAACGCATCCACACAAGCATCTCCAGCCTTCAAATGCTTCCCCTCTCCACATCAAAACTTGAAAATGCCAAGAAAAAAGAGAGGGGGGCCTCAGTATGGCAGTAGAAAGACCAATCAAAAAGTGTTATGCTTGTTAGACAAAGGAGAGAACAGGAAGCTTTGCAAAAGGAGGAATAGTTAAAGGCTGTACTACTAGAAGCAAAATGATACAAGAATGATAATGCACTTTCAGAGCTGTAATTGGATAAAAAGTTACCACCAAGAAAGAGAGACCAGCAGGATGTCAACTATAATGAATCAGAATCTAGTGAACAAGACTATGAGGAGGAGGAAATTGATTCTGTAACACTTTCTGTAGTTTGCCATTGCTTTCTTTGTTTGAATCCACTTATTAAGTCAGTCAAAATGGGCAAGCAAGGGTCTACTAAAGATAAGTAATTTGATTGGGCAAGAGCCTCAATGAGCTGGTGGTTTACTCAGATCTTGCTCTGCTTCAGAGCAATTGGTTTTTGTCACAAGATTTTCCAAACACTTTTGGGTGAAAGATTTAAAAAAGATGACCCCCACCATGCTACAATGTAACAAAATTAATCAGCATGCTCAAACTGAATCAGGTGGTTTGGTATGATGAATGTCACTGGAAGTGTGCCATTAGACCTGTGGCAGCCAAATTGGTAATGGGAGACCATGCACAAACG